GATCACATGATTGACACCACTGGTAATTAGTATTATATTTTGCACAAACAAAACAGGTTCCATATTCTTCTTTCCTTTCTTTAAACTTTTTAGTAATATCTATTATAAAAAAATTAAAAATAAAATAGCATTTATTTTCAACATAATAAAAATAGGTATTTGTTCCAAGTAAAAATTAAATTATGATATAATATTTTACCTTCTTCAATTGTTAATCATTATAAAGAAATAAAAAATAAATTTGCTTAATTGAATGATATTTTGATAAAAATTATTTGTGTTCTAAAAGTTAATTTATAATGCTTACCAGCTAGTTATTATGAAGAAATAAAAATAATTTTATTAATTAGATGATGTTTTAATTTGTGTTGCAAAAGTTAATTTATAATAATACTTACTAGCTGGTTATTATAAAGAAATAAAAACCAAAATAAAACAAGTTCATTTAATTAGATGTTTATTTTGTTTAAAAGTTTAATTTATAATGTAATACTTTACCCCCTGGTTATTATAAAAAATAAAAATTAAACTTATTTAATTGAATGAAGTTTTAATAAAGTTTATTTTTTTTTTAATTTATGATATAATACTTACCAGCTGGTTATTATGAAGAAATAAAAAATAAATTTATTTAATTAGATGAAGTTTATTTTGTGTTGAAAGTTAATTTATAATATAATACTTACAACCTGGTTATTATAAAGAAATAGAAAAATAACTTATTTAATTGGTTAAAAAGTTTTTTTTGTGTTATAAAAATTAATAATATAATACTTACAATCTGGTTATTATAAAACAAAATTATTTAATTAGATGGTGTTTAATAAAGTTTATTTTGTCATAAGGTTAATTTATAGTATAATAATACTTACTGCCTAGTTATTATAAAGGAACAAAAAATAATTTATTTAATAAGATGAAAGTTTATTTTTGTGTTGTAAAGGTTAATTTATAATATAATACTTACCATCTGGTTATTATAAAGAAATAAAACAAATTTATTTAGATAATTTTTATTTCATTATAAAAGTTAATTTATAATACTTACCCCCTGATTATTATGAAAAACAAAAAATAATTTTCTTTAATTAGATGAAGTTTATTTTGTATTATAAAAGTTAATTTAAAGTATAATACTCACATGCTGGTTAATATAAAGAAATAAAAATAAATTTATTTAATTAGTAACGTTAAAGTTCATTTTGTGGTGTAAAATTAATTTATAATATACTTGCCAGCTGGTTATTATAAAAAAAAAATAAAAAAAAAATATATTTAATTAGATGATATTTTAATAAAGTTCATTTTGTGCTGTAAAAGTTGATTTGTAATATAATACTTACAAACTGGTTATTTAAAGAAATAAAAACAAATTTATCTAATTAGTTGATGTTTTAATTTGTGTTGTAAGAATTAATAATATAATGCTTACCAACTGGTTATTATATATAATAAAAAATTATTTTATTTAATTAGATGATAATAAAAAAAATTATTTTGTAAAGGTTAATTTATAGTATAATACTTACCTCCTGGTAAAAATAAATAAATAAATAAAATTATTTAATTAGATTATGTTTAAAAAGTTTATTTTGGTAAAAGTTAATTTATAATATAATACTTGCCAACTGGTTATTAGAATTTAATTAGATGAAGTTTTAAAAATTGATTTTGTGTTGTAAAAATTAATTTAAAATATAATGCTTACCAGCTAGTTATTATAAAGAAATAAAATTAAAATCATTTAATTAGATGATGCTTTATTTTGTGTTGTAAAAGTTAATTTATAACATAATACTTACCAACTGGTTATTATAATTAAATGAAAAATAATTTTATTTTATTAGATGATGTTTTAATAAAGCTTATTTTGTCTTGTAAAGTTGAGTTTATAATAAAATACTTACGATCTGGTTATTATAAGGAAATAAAAAATTTATAGATGATGCTTTAATAAAGTTTATTTGTGTTGTAAAAGTTAATTTATGATAGAATACTTACAACCTGGTTATTATAAAGAAATAAAAATATATTTATTTAATCAGTAATGTTAATAAAGTTCATCTTATGTTGTAAAAAATTAATTTGTAATATAATACTTACTAACTAGTTATTAAAAATAAAATTATTTGATTAGATGATGTTTTAATAAAGTTTGTGTTGTAAATTAATTTATAATACTTACGATCTGATTATTAAAAATAATTTTATTTAATTAGATGATGTTTAATAAAGGTTATTTGTGTTGTAATGGTTAATTTATAATAGAATACTTACAGCCTGGTTATTATAAAGAAATAAAAAATAATTTTATTTAATTAGATTTTAATAAAGTTCATTTTGTGCTGTAAAAATTAATTTATAATATAATACTTACCAACTGGTTTTTTATTATAAATAAAAATAAATTTATTTAATTAGATTATGTTTTATTAAAGTTTATCTTATAAAAGTTAACTATAATATAATACTTACGATCTATGAAATAAAAAACAAATCATTTAATCAGGTGATGTTTTTAAAAAAGTTTATTTTGTAAAAGTTGATTTATAATACAATGCTTACCATCTAATTTTATAAAAAAGCAAAAAATAAAAATAAAGTTTATTTTGCATTGTAAAAATTAATTTACAATAGAATACTTACTCCCTGGTTATTTATTATAAAGAAATAATAAAATAATTTATTTGATTAGTAATGTTTGATAAAGTTCATTTGTGTTGTAAAAATTAATTTATAATACAATGCTTACCAACTGGTTATTATAATGAAATAAAAATAATTTTATTTAATTAGATGATGCTTTGATAAAGTTTGCAAAAGTTAATTCATAATATAATACTTACTACCTATTATTATAAATAAAAGAATAACTTTATTTAATTAAATGAATAAAACTATTTAAGTTGATTTATAATATTTACCATTGTAGAATTTTGCTAAGTATTATTTTATTATAAAGCAAATTATTAAATTGAGATGTAAATTAAAATTTTAAAAAAGCTATAAGAAAAAAAAATACCTTCATTCATTTTTTTTTTGTATGAAAAAAGCAATGCAACTTTTTTTTGTTCTTGTTGTGTGAATTGTAACTATGTGAAATTACAAGACGCCTTGTGGTGTGCGACATTCTAAAAACTAATTAATGTCGTATATTGATTGGTTGTGATTTTTTTTGTGATCTGCACACCACGTACAAAATTTCCGAATTTATGTTTTAGGGAAAATCAAGATTTATATGAAATGTGTAACGTTGATCACAACGAACAAAAAATTTAATACCACTACTACTGTCATCTCATTCTTATTCTGCTGCTATTGTTAGTGTTACTGTTATTGCTACTACTGCTTTTAATGTGCCATTATTATATCTGACGCCATTACATTAGCCCTACAAAAAATTTAGATAAAAGATGATTCACTAATTATTTGCAAAATATGTATGAATATACTTATTTTACAATTAAAACATTCTTATTTTTACAGTAATAGGAATGTAGATATCCTAATTATACACTTAAAATATACCTCTGAATTTTAATAATTCTTAAAACATACTTATTATACCACTAAAACACAATTTAAGTAGAATTTAATTAATGTTTTGAGCATGGAATAAGTATGTTTTAAACATATTTCAAGTTTAATTTAAGCACATTTTGACTATTATGAGGAGATACTTAAAACATTCTCATTTCTTGCAAATTTAAGTAGAAAATAAGCATGATTTTTCTACTTATTTTCCATTTATTTTCTACTTATCATACTTAAATCATACTTAAATCATACTTAAATTACACTTAAATTACATTTAAACTATACTTGATTTATACTTGACTTATTCTTAAAATTACTAGAAAAATACATTTTATTTATTTTTTTAAATACAAATAAATTTTATAAATAGCAATAATGACAATAATAATAATAAAGTAATAACTAATTTTTTTCTTTAATTGTTGTGTACAAATAACCCATTGTTTAATTATGAACCCATTTTTGAAGAAAGAAATATTAATTACAATGTTATATATATAATAAAAATTATCATTAATAATATATTATTACTTACTGCATTATGCTTTGATGATCACACACATAACAATAATAGTAATAGTAAACCCCATTTTGGAAGAAAAGAAATATTAATACAATGTTATATATTTAATAAGAATTATTATTATTAATATATTATTAATTACCACGCGTAATAATAAACCAGTAAACCCATTAATACAATAAGAATTATTAGTAATAGTAATATATTATTACTTACAGCATGGAGCATAATGGACATTCGTTTATCACATAGTGACAAAATTGAATGCAGATCTTTTTTATGCTGTGCAACAGCATATTTTCAATTGTTTTAAAATAGAAAAGGCTGGTTATAACACGGGTGATTAAAAACTACTTGTAAAACGATGATGTT